GTTACTAACAGTGTGGGAGGAGACAAAAATCCATACATTGTAACGTTTTAGTCCTTACCGGTTTGGCAAAGGTTCGTCCGCTTTGTGACATGGTATTGTGAATTGCTATCTCAGTTGTTGTCATACAAGTTTTAATATATAAGAATCCGTGTAAGCGTACTCTTGAACACCATATAAAGAATATCCCACCATTCATGCAGCTCATGAAATATCATAAACAGCAGTATTAACAAATATTTTGAAAGGTAACAATGCTTTTAGTCGATCTCAGAACAGGTCATCTCTCCAACAAAGACAACATCGCCGTGAATGGTCAGCACATCCATTCGCGATTCCAGCCAAATCAATCTCAAAGGACGTGGGCTTTTATTGAGCTTAATGCATTCCATTACTTTGGAAACAGTGTGTGATTTTTGTTTCCCCTGTGTAAAATTGATACATTAGTTGATGCTATTTTTGGTTCTCCTGAAAAACGTGAAGACAAGAAATTTGCAAGAATCTGTTGTAAATGTCATTCCGGTGAAACACATTTCGAAACGAGCACACAAAGCGTTTTGTTCGCGTGTGAATAATCGTCCAGGTGACAGGTGCTATATAACTCAACTTGGTAAATTGAATCACGTTACAAACGAGACCATAAATATAACTCCAAGATAGACAGGAGGTTTCAATTCCCTGTATATTGTTCTCCTTACAGTATACAAACAACTTTAAACCATGAAATCTTCTTAGTAGGTGTGGACTGTATTAACTGTGTTTAAACAAAAAATAAAAAAGTCGTTCACAAATGAGCAAGTGTTCTGGTTTTTTAATCCCCAAACATGCGTTCTATCTACGCTTTATAGGGGTAGGTCCCTATTGTATCCTTAAGAGGGACGTCTAAATGGCGCATCTAGTCCCCGCTGTTGCTTTAGTAACTGAGGGGGATCATGCCTGGAGAGCACTCGTGTCTTTATTCTGCTGTCATTGTAAGGTAGTGATGTGCGTCCTCGTGTCAACATTGCATTTGAAAATACATGTATAAGATTTGCAGGGGACGACAAAACCTGCATCAAGCAGACAAAGAAAATGTCTGATTTGTACATTACACCATATAAACAACAGTTGCAAGAGCGGTTGAAAAGATAACAATTGACATAAAAGGATGCAAGATAGATTTAAAATATGGATTTAAAATGGAAAGACTTGCAGGGCTGGACAAATCCTGTATCAAACAGACAAAGAAAATGTCTGATTTGTACATTCCACCATATAAACAACAGTTGTAAGGGTGGTTGAAAAGGAAATAAAATGACAAAAAAGGATGTAAAATAGATTTATAATATGGATTTAAAATAGAAAGATTTAAAATAGAAAGACTTGCAGGGATTGACAAAACAACATATGCAGGATTTAAAATAGATTTAAACCTTTAAATATGTGTACGAAATTTGGTTTTATGTTGTATTGAAACTAGCCAGACTACGGCCGACCTTACCTCGTTACAGATACCGGGACTGTTTTATTGGGGTGGACATTTACTATAGTGGCTGACATTTCCTATGTGACTGAAAACAGTAGAACAAACAACTGTATTCCGCATCTAAGGCTAAATCAATAGGCTTATGTGTGGGCGCACAGATAATTCAATATTAGCTCCTCTCTCTAATACCCAAGGGTTAACGATCTGCACACGCAGAAGATAGCGTGATCAAGAGTAATTGAACAAGCCGGAATTCCATATAGAGATACGATCAAACAACAAGGAAATGGTTAAAAAGGAAGATCAATGCCGAATCAGTCATTTTTTAACTTACATTTTGTCTCAAAGTGAATAATGCATTAAGTGCAAAGTTTTAAAGTTGTGATAAGAAGCTGAAGTCATGGAATGGTTATGCCGCCAAGGAAGTCCTCGTGCATTGAATAATGCATGAAGTTACGTGATAAGAAAGCCAGTCATGACACAAACAAAACATAGAACACGTTACGATGTCTCATGACTAAATGCTCGAAAAAAACCCAGTGATAAAGATGTTTGTTTTAGCAGCTTCTGTCTCTGTCTAAAAGAGACATTAACGCTTAACCCGTTAAAGTATGAAGTTTTTTCTTTTTAAAAATCAGCCTTTTATCTATATTTCGTTATTCTTTAAGATACTTTCCATTGTTCCTGTGGTGAAATACTTATATACAATAGATACGTATGCAGCCGTTATGTTATGGGTTTTCGTCGATATCTCATAACAGTAATTTGTGTTTTTAAAAAAGATAATAAAATCAATTTTCCTTGAAAATATCCAAAAATCAATTTTTCAACCGTCTGACACCCAAACAAAAATAAAATAACAAATATACAAACACAAAAAAGCCTGTACGCGTTTATATTATATTCTTTTCCTGAATTATATGTTACATGTAACAGTAGTACACAACTTATGTGAATTAGGAACTATGAAACTGCTTCATTCCAACCTGTTGCACTCAAGTTAGAACGTGTACTATTACACGAAATCACCAACAAATGTTGCATCTAATACTGTGTTATATTATTAATAACAGGTTCCATGTGCATGAGTCAGCATGCCGCGGTAATCTTTACGACACGAACTTTACATTTGTTTGAAGTTCCTTCCGATATATTTTTATTTTTAAATGCGTTATCATAAATGTTTAAACCATTACTGCAAATACAGATATAGGAAACATATTGATTGCTTTCGTGAAGGTTAGTTAGTTTTCTTCATACTGAATAATTTCGGTACGAATGTTATATCGCATAGCAACTTTGTTATGCAAATATGCGATCAATTTAGCAATGAATTGCAACCTTCAAATGTTTCTAATATAACACTGAATGCCACCACAATAGGGTTCATATTCCGGGTAATAGCAATTAGATACCTTCTTCAAATAACATTAAAGCCGCTGTCTGTTCAAGCCAGCAACAAATAGGCAGTTTTCAGCAAACTTCTAATGACAACCATGCGTACAACGCCTCGATCAATACACTTTAATGAAGGTTGGGACAGATTCTACAAACATCATCAGTGGAACATCACAGATAGAATTAATAGCTCGGAAAACTGCTGAGCCCATCTCAGCCACAGTTAAAAAGAACTGCGACCTTAATTCAGAATCAACAAAAGGAAACGTAATGTTTTCGAGCGAAAGAGAGAGAGAGAGACGGTTTTTCCAAACACTCAATTAATGACAATGCCAAACAAATAAAACACGTTCCGTGTGCTCAGTTTCGATTCAATAAAACATTGTTTTGTTTCCGGCTTTTTTTAGAGATTCGAAATGTCTTCCTGATTTCTATGTGTCAGATTACTTCCATCTGTTATTATTGTTGAGTGATATTGGCGTTTGTTATCGTGAGGAAACAATGTCTTGTATTTCCCTATTTATTGGTGTCTTGCATATTAGGATCTTTCCCTAGGAAAACAATGTTACTGATAATTTGTTGTTGAGAATGAATCGACCAGTTCCTTTTATCAACAGGTGTTTTATCGACGAGAATTGACAGTGTCTATCAAAAGCAATCAGCAACTCGACCAAAGTTCAATGACCGCTTGGTCATATAGTGAGTTATATAAACAGTGATTTCATACCCTTTGTCTGGTGTTTTTTTATATTAATATGTTATAATTAAATAATTAGCAATATCATATACCAGTTACGTACGGAAGACCATTAGGGCCATGTAGAAAGAAAAAAAATCAAGATAATAACTCCGAATTTCAAGATAATAACTCGAAATTTCAAGGACAATAACTCGAAATTTCGACTTACTTACTCAAAATTTCAAGATAATAACTCGAGATTTCGACTAATTAACTAGAAATTTCAAGATGATAACTCGAAACTTCGACTTCCTAACTCGAAATTTGAAGATAATAACTCGAAATTTCAAGAAAATAACTTGAAATTTGAAGATAATAATTACTGTTATAAACAGAATCTGTTCATCTGGATCTTTGTGTAAATCGGCAAACGTATTTGCTCTTTAATTCTATAGCTTTATTGATGAAACTTCGAACTCATTCTGTAAACCGGCTCTGTTTCCTTGTCTTATACCTTCTTAACATTAATAAATATACTCTCTGTGAACCGGCAACACAACACGTTCTAGTCTAGTACAACCCTTATCACTAGACAGGAAAGTGAACAGTTTACCAATCATTTTCAACTCTCCCGGACATCATAGTTACGGGCGGTCGTGCGGTCTAGAGTGGGTTTTTATTGCAAACTTTCAAATGCCAGTGCGCATCGGACCTTAAATCTATCTTAATGCTCCCGTACAACTGCCAAAAACTCTAACTGCCGAAAACTGTAAAAGTGTTTTTTTCTGGCATGACTATAGCTTAGATAAATCATTTAAAAAAAAAACATTTAGAGAGAAATAAGAAAGACAATAAAATATAATCAGTGCTCTAAGCGTAAAAAAACTAAGGGGGCTAGACCAGAATTTGAACAATTGACTTCTCTCTAACCGATTGGGCTAGCGGGTCAACGAAAGTGTCTTAGCCAAACTGTGCAACAGTTATATCCAAAAGGAAGTTAAGGAAAGGTTATTGCTTAAAGGAAAAACCTTAGCGCAGTTGGACATGGAGTCTTAAGGAAATATAGAAATATATGCCACCATGTACCACAGCGTCAACACAAAAGGACAAACTAGTTACTTAATAAGAAAACCAATCAGGACATGAGATGATCTTAAAAGAGTAGGGAAGATTATGAACACTTAAAATGAGAACGAACAGTTGGACCGTAAGTATCTTTTGAAGACTATCAGTTCTAAGCAAGTACTATCACGTTTCTGTGTCTAATAGCAGACAAAACTAGGGATTCAGTAACTTAACCTTAGTCTGAACCGGAAAGTCTATGAATAAACACGTGATGTACTGTATACTAACGATGACGTGTCCATTAAGTCCTGTCATATATGTTCATGTTATTTGGAGAATATAATAATAATTTTAATTTGAACGAAATTTAATATAATTCTTATATGAATGTCTTACCTTCAGGGAGTTGGAGAGCCGGGGCGTCCATTGCCCATGCGTAGACGATCTGTTGCCCTGAACCACAGACCCCAGCTGTTGAGTAGGTCGAGGTGGTGTGGGCCATCTCGCCACAGTTCCTGTAACATGTTGGGATAACATTATATATTTGGTGGGACGAATGCCACAATTAGCCATGTTTTTGTAACTCTATATTTATTGAAAGACAGTTGAAATGGTATATTTTTTAATTTTTTTCCTACAGATTTCTAAACTATACGTCTATGTCGAAAATACCTCTATATGCGTCTGGAAAATGTAAAAGGATTTCAACATTCTTCGTGATATCACAAAATACTCTGCTTTCCCCAAAACAAATTTTGTAAAACGGCAAAGTAATTCAGAGTGAAGAAATATATATATTCGTGATCACAAACACTACTCAACTGTCATTTAAAAATACTAACAAATCATTTTATTAATAAATGCAATATAATTTTACATATACTAGAAAATGTCTGTAAGACATAAATGCCCCCGCTGCCATGTGAAATTAGTTTCAGTGTTCTATAAAAAGTTACAACCACTTTGATCTTGATACCCTGAAACATGCACACACACAAGGTAATACACGTAAAGTTGATTTTAATATTCATATGTTTTTTCTGTATGTTATTACCATCTCCATAACATATTGAGTGTTTAAATTGAATCAGTAGATGATTTTCTCTATATAGCAACAGTGACCTTGGCCTTGACCTTGGAACCCTGAAACATAACAATGGCCGAAGTATAATCATACTTGACCTTTGTATAAAGTTTGACCAAAATCTGTCAAAGAATGAAGCTGCTAAGTGTTTACATGGCGGGGGCATAAAAATACCTACCATCGCGTCAACACACAGACACTACCGGAACCTGAAGACGGTATGAAAGCACTAAAGCAAAATCATAGGAGACAACAAAACAAAAGAGAAAACATCATGTATCGAATATTGATTCCTGACTTCCCTTGTTAAATCAATTAAAGTATGTAAGTAATAGAGACACCGATAATGTTTTTTAATCTTAGTAGATAGTGAAATAGACGAATATGGAAATTATGTTATGGCGACGAACGTGAAGACTTACCAGATGGCGTCATCGCCCCTGACGCCTGGCTCCTTACAACCGTACAAGAGCATGTGATGGGCAATGTCTTTGTTGGCATGAGGGTGAAACCCGACTGAAAAGTAGCCATACTGTTTTATTTTGGTACGAATTCATTTTACGTCTGTCAATTTAAAAACAAAAACAAAAAAAAAACCAATATGTACAGGAGGATCAAGGGTGAAATAATCGATTAGCAAAAAAAAATGTACAGGTGAAATAATCGATTAGTAACAACTTATAATGTTGGTCACAACACTTATTTTTTTCCAGTTTCTAGATTATTCATTTGGGTTTTTTCTAGATACAATACTGCTTTGAGTACCTTAGCCTCTGATTCATTTCAATACCTTTCAGTATGATCAAACTATTTTTTTTAAATGTTATGAAAACATTTTAAAATATTTTCCTACAATTTAGGAGTAATATGAGTGAAGGGGGAATCAATGCCGTTTACTATCGGGCTATAAATCTAATATAGAAAGTTTGTAAAACAATTCAAATATGGAGAAACTAGGAGATAAATAATGGAAAATATTTTCTTCAAATCAGATAGTTTAAGTTTCCTTTGGTATAACAAGCTCGAATCCTTATAACAAGACGATTACGATGCGTAGCTTGTCAGCAAGGATATTTAGGATTTAAGTTTCAGTGTATCGATGCAGAAATCCAAACAAAGTGAACATTTCACTGCATCATATGTCCATGTTGTCCATCCAGGACCATCCAGGGGTTATGCTCACTTACGCTCTCTACACCCCTGGAATATGTCATAGCAAAATTGAAGGCTCGGTGCGCGCCACCTTGTTGATGAGACAAGAATACAAGTTCGAGCCTTTGATGTACATCAAAAGAGTCTTGCAGTCACGTAACGGTACAATTTGACAGACTTTGAAGTCGGGCGTATCTCCTTTGTAATCTCCAAAGGACAGGTAGCAGCCAAGCGATTGGTTTTTTTTACCTGATACCAATCAAACAGCTATTTTCGTGCCTTCAATTTTGCTATGACATACTCCAGAGGAGAAGGGAGCGAAAATGAGCGTAACCCCTGGAAATCGAGGATGATCCAGGACTTATCAATGGCAAGCACATGACAAACTGTGTCCAAAGTGTTCAAAACAGAAAATATCTATGACGATATTTTATTGACCTCAAATACACAAACTTAATCGGCAATAAAAGTTTCTTGTAATATTGAGAGGCAACAATTTTTTGTTATTTAATAAAAGTTTTATATTTATTAAAATATTGTTGGAATACCTCCATATGAACACATCTTATCAAACAAAATACATTTTAAATTTGACTCTTATTTATATGGTGATATTGGAATCTTACCATCTGATAAAGCCTTTCTTTAAGATCAGAATTTTGAAACTCAAAATACGTCTCTGATAAGTTGGTTTACCTAACGCATATCTGCAATGCATTTTAGCTAAATAATCATATCGGTGACCGCGTCTGTTTATCTATGTGTTCACTATGTATTTTATTACATGTGTTAGTATTTTTACACATATGCACCGACTGACAACATTTGCAGAGCAATATATGAAGTGTATATCATATTGATATTGCACCTGTTGAAAACATGTTATGTGACACTGTAATAAAGATACATTTTTATTGACTGTCCGTCTGGGTTATGTAAATAGCACATATGAACCCCCGAGACTGAAAGCCTATATGGGCGTGGCTACGTTGCTATCATTTTGGATTAAAACATTACAGAACCATTCAGAAGATAATCCTCTTGCAACGAATATACCAAACTGGAGTATTGATCACATAAACCCGGATCAGGTGACTGTGTAATTGGAATGAATGACTGGTATTAGGAATCTGCCCCATACTAGAAGCTGTCCGTTGCAAAAGTGTATCTATCTAAGCTAACGATGTATGTATGCATTAGGTTCGGCTTAGCAATCCATCAACATGTCCAAAAACAATTATCCATAGGGTTTATCTAAAGAACGACTTTTCCCTTCTTATCTAATTAAGATCATTATAATTTTATAGTTAATGTCAATGACCTGCTCTTATTGCACACGAATTGCACAGAAATGTGCATACAAAGATACAGTTTCATGCCAACAAAGTTCATGTTTTATCATTATTGTTTTCCAATCGATGCTAAAAATAACAATTGATCACAATACGAGAGCGAAATAGAAAGTGAAGCATTGTATTTGAGCTTATTGTCAATAGTGCACTAAGCAATTATCAGCCCACTTGGCATAGGATTCAGAAATTACAAAATATCGAAAATATCACAAATAGTGTTCTTTCCTTATATAAATAAAGTAAAAAAAAAAAAAAAAGGTTTTTCATTTTAGTTATATTGACAATGTGCTCATTTCTATATCGTTCATGGTTGAATAAGACTCTGTTCGTTAGGTCTATAATTTACAGTACAGTAGAACTATGCCAGTGAATTATGTAGGTTTTTGTATGGAGGTAATATAATTACAAGATTAGTGAAGTATACAGTATTGTCTACGGATGTAATGTATGCCATACACAAGAAATTCAGATCTGGGGTAAATGAACGGATGAATTATTAACTATAGTGTAGGTACAGAGTCAATACATCTTTGTGAAACCATCTTCATTTACGTCACCCAGCAGGCAAAAGTAACGATAACATGAATGATTAACTATAGTGTAGGTACGGAGTCAATACATCTTTGTGAACCCATCTTCATTTACGTCTCCCATCAGGCAAAAGTAACGATAACATGAATGATTTAACACCGTATATACGGAGGTGTTATGTGTAGGCCCATTATGTATCACCATGGTAGTTATGTCACGAAGCTGTAAAATGATGACATCGCGCAGGAAATACTATCCATAGCTATCTCTTATTATTCTCTGTAAACGTTATCTTGTCCTTCTGGGAAAACACCATTACACATGGAGCTAAATACCACGACACCGATAAAATCCTTAACGTCATAACTGCTGTGTCAGACGCACGTACTGTGTTGTATATGTAAAAGAAGGTGTAGGCAAAAAAACTGTAAATCGGTTTTTAATGTTCGGTGTGGTATATGAAAGTAATGGTGCGGCATAAAAATATACGCCAGGAGAATGTCAGTTACATTTGTCACGAGGTAGGTAGCGAGTAGTAGCAAGCAAATACTGCTAGCATTGCAACGCAAAATAATATTCATCAAATGTCAGGATTTCAGAATTTCTTCAGAAGTGTATAAAATAACAGAAATAGCTTTAATTTGCTTTCAGAAACATGCATTACATCTAGGAAATACAGATATTTCTTACCTCGGATCATGTCATGCGTTAGGATTTTCGCAGAAATAAGACTGAGTGAATTCAAGACCTCAAAATTAGGTATGGATGGACAATTTCACGTAATTGTAAGTAATTGTAGAAGTTTTGTACTAGGTTTTACAACGTTATGGTTGCTTAACGGATAAAATGGCTTTTAAAAATAATGTACCATTCAAATAGAAAACAGCTTTTATAATGTTTACAACATGATTTGGATTATTTTTAAATGATCCAGTCTCTGACATTTTATTTGATAATTTGATAAGTACTTCTCTTCCAAAAACAGCATACAGTTAAAGTTAACATTTTTTACTGTAAACATTTTCGCGTTGCAACTCTTCAAAATATGTTACTATGTAAACATGTTCGTTTTGATGATTCTGTTGCAACATCACTTCAGTATATTAAATATAATGTGTCAATTCGTCGGTTTTGCGTAGTTAAGTAAGCACAAATTTAACTACAATGACTATAGTTGGAACATTTTCACCATACAACAAGGGCAATACTTCTATCATGGCCAATCGTTCATAGTTTGCTTAGTTTAACGACTCATGAACGTAAAAGTTCTAAATGTGATTTTTCGTGAAATATTAAAAAAAAAACCATAGAACATTTTTCTCTGTAGATTAATACTAAGGATCCGCCCTCATGTAATTTTTGTTTTGAAATTCCAACTTTTAAATAAATATTATATTTAAATTTCCCGTTAGGCTTTCGTGAAGCTGACCTGCTTAAAACAAGTGGGTTCAAATGACATGTCTTCTGTTTCTATTCTAACATAGTACTTCATACTTATTTCATAATATCATACAGGTTTAAAGACCAAACTTGCATGGACATCACAGCTATTCTAAGAAATTTTAAACTCTGGTCTTTAAGTAAAGAAACATATTCATCATGCAGCAACTTACCTATATATGTGGGAGTTGCATTCATTTTCATTCCATAACAGAGGTATGTGTCTTTCTGCAACAGAGAAAACAGATTATATTAAAAGACAAATAATGGCTTTATTTAAGAGTTTCAGAAATGACAGTGTCTGCATTAAATTTGTTGGCATGAGCCTTCTAATAGTACACATAAACCATTGTAGCAAAAGTAATGAGAGTCGAAATCAACTCTCTTCCTCATACGTCAATCGGACCCCGCTCGGCCATTTACGTGAAATAACAAGCATGCGACGGAAAAGGGCGAAGAGATCCCATTTCCTCATACAAGAATAAAATAATAAAGGGATGTTTCAGTACGTATATTTTAAGCAAGGGGCCCTTTTTATACACAAGGATATTTGTGTGCATTTAAACTTATACCGGGTTAAAAACAATGTCTACTTATTTCCAAAAAGGGAGTTTCAGTCAGAAAAAAAGTGTTTTTAAGTGACAGATAATCCTTGTTTATATGACATGTACGTCCATACGGGTTGGTAAGCTGGAGGTGTCTGGGTCTAACACTTATCTATATGGCTAGGCGGTATCCTATAGCTCTTAAGGAGATAAACAAGGGAAATTGCGTGGGTGCATAGCGTTCATCACAAAAGCTGGAAAACGTGATTAACCATACAGCTCAGAATATAGACTGAAGTGAATACGGACTGAGCTGAATGCGGACATATTGATGTATAGACAAAGCTGCATGTGGACTTATCGACTTAGTAGAAAGGCAGAGTGGATTTGTTGACTGAGTGAAATGTGGCAATGAACCGAGCTGAATGCGAATAGAATAAAGTCCTAGCTGAGTAGTATGGACATCTAGCAGAATTAAGGACTGAGCGAAATACAGACAGAGTACATTTATAGATATTGAGTACACAAAGTTGACATTGTAAGTAACTGTTTATGGTATAAACAATATGAGTCTAAAACAGTACATTAACTCAAATATGACATTATTTAAAATCATATATGTAAACTTCATACGACGAAGCATGTTAGTGTAAAAAAATCGTTTGATAATACATTCAAATTTAATACAGTTATACACTTGTTTTTCATTTTTCAACAATAAAACAGAACAAGAGGCCCATGGGCCTTAACGGTCACCTGAGTCTATAGTATTTATTTTTGTTGTTGAAATATGTACCAATTTGAGTAAAAAATAGTATAATGTTAACTTAACTTTGTCAGGACCATGAGCTGATCATTCCTACCAACTTTCAGTTCGATCGGTCCAGCAGAACTTGGCTTTAAGTTTGAAATAGGTTTTCAAAATGGCGGCCGTGGCGGCCATATTGGATTTCTGATCGACCCGAAAAATAACAACACTTTGTCAGGACCATGAGCTGATCATTCCTACCAACTTTCAGTTCGATCGGTCCAGCAGAACTTGACTTTAAGTTTGAAATGTAAAATGTTAACGGACGACGGACGACGGACGACGGACGACGACGGACGAAAAAGGATAGCAATAGGTCACTTGAGCTAAAGCTCAGGTGACCTAAAAACTTTAAATAATGCTATAATATAAGACTGTTCAGCGTTAATGTATGAGAACAGAGAAAACTGGTATAGCGATATTTTAATAAAAAAAAAATATAAAAACGAATAAATAAAAAACAAAATATAAATACATTTTATCTAGTATTATGCACTAAATCAAATTCAATCTAATTAAAATTATATCTTCACATCGCTCCCGTTTACTGATATGTCGCGTTGAAGATCTAACAACATCCCATAGAGGGTCACGTCAGAGGTCAACATGAATGCATTATCGTATTTATAACAAGCCAATCAAAACGCGACATAACTCTTTCTTTCAACCAATCAGAAAGCAGGACCTGTAGCATTTAATGCAGACACCTCGTAGCCCAAAATCCACTTTTTCGTCTGGTCCAGTGATAGTTTGAATATTGCGAAGCCTGTCATTGGTTAATTTTAGTTTCAGGTTGTTAAACTTTTTAACGACAACATCACCAGAAGAGGAAGTCTCTCTTATTTCAAAGCAAAATCCACAAATTGTACAAACGTTGTCTTGTAGATAGACACGGCGTGGTGTCATGGGCGCCGCCATTTTCGATGCTCATTTGACACCTCTCGGTCTTTTATCATAGCAAGTGTGTTCCGAAATCATTACATCATCACTTACAGAAATGCGTAAGCTCTCATCTGATTGGTTAATGCAAAGGTCGCCTGAACATGACCCTCTACGGGATGTTGTTAGATCTTCAACGCGACATATCAGTAAACGGGAGCGATGTGAAGATACAATTTTAATTAGATTGAATCAAATTATTTTTGTCTTTCTAATAGACAATTATATTGTGCGTCCGTGAGGTGTGTTTAAATAAGACGTAGTTTCGACATAACTAGAAGGAGAAAACTATATGAGAATAGTCACGCATCGGGATGGTGCTGCATTGATACATCATATAATGACAAACTCGAGGTATGGATCACGGTATCATCAGTCACTATACAATTTCTTACTCGATCCGAGGGATAACCAACCAACTAGTGCTTCACTTAAACAGGATTCTTCTGATTTAAATCGCATTATAGAAGTAGAACAATGCCATAAACAAAACAAGAAAAGCATGTTCCAGATGCAAACTCTGAACAGGGTTTTTACTACTTAAATGAAAATAATTGCTTGAAATTAAACGAAGACATGTGGTGTTAAGAGTACCACATGGTCAATAAGCAGCAGCAAAACTCGAAATAGAAGTCGGTGCAAAAAGGCAACAAAAGAAACTGAAGAGAAGCCAAAACAAAGGAAATATATCAGGATTCACATTAAAAGGGTCAGAGACGAAACCAGATCCTCTGGAACATAAGCGAATCTGAACTACATGTTGCACCCGTAATCACGTCCCAAGTCCTTACAACCAAAATGTTAAATTACATTTGACTGGCTTGTAAGAATTGTTCCGTTAAGTTAAATACTGTATAAGGTGCTCGCAAATGTATAATATGCGTATCAATACAATAAAAGTATTTCCCCAGAACGTTCAAGTCATTGAAATCTAGTGAACAAGAATACATATTTTTTTTATATAAACCAGCACAACTGTAACGTCAGTTCCATTAGTTTGTCCGCGATGCTCATCCCCGCATCCTAAATTAGGAAACTTTTTTGTGTGATATAGCATAGGAAAAAATATATTGAAATGTTGAACTTGATATTTTCTATGTATTTATAGAACTTTTAACGATCAAACAAATAAAGAAAATGTTATACAATTCCAAAGTGATGACGTATTTGGTTCGCTTACATAGCGCTTGGAAAAACCATACCACTTGTGACCAGGAGTACCTATTCCGTATATGTACAAAACTACTTTTCATTAGCTTTTGCTAAAATGTCAAGCATGTGCTCATGTTTTACTTACCACCTTGGGTTGAACGGTGGGCATGAGGAAGTCTACATTTTCGGTCTTCAGCTCCCGTTTAAAAGGCGAGCCGTAGGTACAACATACCACAGCAGCGAGAACAGCCAAAATGGCTTTCATTATGGTGGGATAATTCTGAAATAGGAAAGATACAAACCATCTAAGTAGCATTAATGTAACTACATTTAGATTTTCTTACCAAGGCGACAGAAGAGAGTATAATCATGAAAGTCAATGATTTGTCTTTGCAGTCTATCATTCTCATGGTTATGAATTCGAGACCTTATTGCTTTCGTGTGTTTGCTACCCAGCGTTACAGTATGGCGTAGCAAACTCCTTTTAAACATATAAACTTTGCAATAACGGTAGTCCCAACTACAGTTGCCCAAATTCATATGCAAATCATGCGGAAAACCCTGGTCTGTAATGAACCTCGGAGTTCTGGTAATTTTGTATTTATTTCCATATGGAGTTCAGGCAACTGTTTCCAAACGTCAAGGCTGCTCGATGAAGGTCCAGTAGCGATTGTTAGAGAAAACAATGGTGTCTGTGTCTGACCTAAGGTATTAGTGACGCAGCACACCAGTTGTTCTAGCATTATGTTCGTGAGATCGCAATCATTTACGGCAACGTTTTTAAAACAGTAATTCAGTTTCGCTATGTCGCATTCAAATATGTGCTATATATAAGACGACAAATTGGCATTTACAATGTATTCAAAAATTACATTTTTCTGTAAATGATTGAGATATGATCACTTCTGTCGTAAATATGATCCAGCTGTTTTTCAGAAAGTTACAGAGAGTTGCAATCATTTGTTCAAGAGTTCAATATGATTGACCCCACTTTCAACAAAATTGCATATAACTGTAATTGTTTGAATCTATTTACAAGTATTTACAGCGACATTTAATAGTCGAAGCTCAATATAAATCGTTTAGTTATTGTTTGAATTTGGATATCACATATCATTATGATAACAATGGAAGAGGAAAAAATCATAATACCGCTTTTGATATTAAAACAGTGCTCATCAAATATGGTGACCAATCAGATTGAAGTTATTTTATTGATAATTAAGCTAGTGAAAGGGGTCATAATTTGATAGGAATGTGTTCTGCTGTGTCATTACTAGACTGATAAAACAGTCAAGTTGCGCGGAAAGCCTTCGGTGGGCCCCAGCATGGCGGACATGTAACAAGTCACGTACGACAACCGAAATGGCGGGAATGGATAAGATACAGTCGCTGGCAGAGTTTTATCGTCAACAATGCCTGAAGTTGAGAGAAGATGGGATCGATCAAACACGCTGATAGGTGATCGATGCTTTGGACAATGACCGCCCGTCATCAGGCCTTATAAAGTAATGAAGTCCTGTGGTTGTTGTGATAATTTGATGGAAATTGCATTCTCAACACTTGAAGGTATTCTAGAACTCTGCTATCAATCTTTTTTCTTTATTCTCCTCAAGTGATATTTCTTATCTACTGTGTGATTATTTGCGTTTCGATATCGGTTATTACGTAACACAGCTGCAAGTCCTAACGCATTATGTCTTTATCCCTATCGGTCTATAGGGTGAGACTTGATCTCGCTGTTGACGGGTTCGCCTACTCGGCTTAACTCAAAATAGCCTACTTCCTCTTTCTAAGTGTATATTCAATAGCACGTAGTTCGTCTGTCTCAAAACTAGAAACGTGTCATAGGCATGATAAGTTTAACATGACAATGTTACCGGTATACTAATTATAAGAGGCCTTTTGCAACTATGATTTTACCATGAAGCAACGGTAATAAAAACCTTAGAAAAGGCATCAAGGGTATATTTTATATTTATTAAAATATCACTTGTTTTAATGACAAAATCGAATCAGACCGTCACTTTGTTTAAATAAATAATATCAGACAACAAGAATTATTTTAACAAAAACAATAATTATACTTTTACCAGATTTAGAAAATATCTTTTTATAACGAAGAAACATATTAATGAATTAGCGAATCAATTAAACAGTACCTGCCTTTTGTAAAAATAAATCGTGACAAAACATTAAGTAACAAATGAGATTATGGAAATATAAACTAATTTAAATAACTGATAGCCGAACAATTCTTAAGGCAATAAAACATTTCGCGGATCGTACGACTGAGGACGTCTGATCTGTCCATGGCATCGCTCAATCGAATGAATACATACCAGGCCAAAGTGTTTATATTAACGACTTAATTATGATAAAGGATGGAAACACTATTCTAGTATACGATGATGGATTTGAAGATATAAGGCTTCCACGAATAAAGGATGTAACGATACATCTTATAGTTGGGTTTACAAGAGATATTATAAGCTTAATCGCGATCGGTCGTAACAGCTGTAGTATTCCCTATGAAATGACCATTGATCGTATAATATCGGCAGGAACATGTACATTTAGTGTATTATTTTTCATGAAATTTTTGACAGAATCATAATTATTTTCATTGACCTGGATAACATACACTTAACTCGCTGAGAAAACAACAATAACATATGATGAATAATTATAACAAAAATATGTATTGTCATTTGTTCCGCACTGAGTTTTGTACCCGGGTCTAGATACCTGATCATATTCAGAATATTATCCTTCCAAGACAAATAATTATTTCAGTAGATTATACAAGATTAATGACTATAATAGTTTAACAAATATCTTAAACAGTCCCATGAATGTATCTGATCGATTAATATCAAAGTAGAATTTCATAACATTTTCCTATAAATGACATACCTGTGGAAGCGACAGCGGTATGATTTTACAGGTAAATCTCTGTCATCTGGTACTAATACTAGTTCGTATATACCGAGAATATGGAACCTTTACAGTCTGCTATCAGTCAGTACACACCAAGAAACCGACCCGGATGTACTACCTGTGCCCACTGCACTCTGACAGTGATTGATTAATCTTATGTTTGGCCCTCGGGGTCTACAGCATGTACACAAATACACAACATTTCTATTACTTGTATAGGAAATCTGTATGTCTGATATTGTTGTCTGTTTTATATGCTATGTTTAATGTCCGTTACGGTTTAGTAAACAGTAAATGTTCTAGAGACAAAGAATTATCCCGGTATCTACGGTATTAAGTGCTGTATTAATGCCTTCGCATTGTAGTGGTATATCAATATCTGAGTGAGTGGCTGTATAAAAGTATATCTATACATTAATGAGCGGGTTTAGTAAAAGGTAAATGTTCTACAGACAAAGAAATATACCGGTATATGCATAAAGTGCTGTATCAATGCCTTAGTGAGCACTCGTATTGTAGTGGTATATCTATATCTGAGAGAGTGACTGTATTGAAGTGTGATATTCAGATCTTAATGAGCGAGTTCATTATTTTTATATATTGCCTTAACGAGAGGAATATTAGAGTGGTATATCAATATCTGAGTGAGGGACTTTATAAAAGTGTTATATTGATACATTAATGAGCGGATTTATTAAATCTAAATATTAAGCCTTACTTCAGGAATTTTTATAGTGGTATAACAATGTCTTATAGCAGGTCGTATCAAAATGTTATATTTAATGTCTTAATTCAATGTTGTAATAAAGTGATATATTATTGTCTTTGATAAGGTGTATTTATGTCTTAATAACAAGTTGTATTAAGTGTATATTTATGTCCATGGGCGGATTGGTTGAGTGGTTAACACTTCGGCCTTTCACGCAGGCGACCGGGGTTCGATCCACGAAGTCGTCGCACGCATGGAATATCAAATAAAACCCAGGTGGAGTATAAAATGGTCTGGGGTGAATGTTGCGGTATCTGTGGTGTTGCATTTAAGTGAGGTGGCACTATAAAAGATGCCGTTGGAAGCACGGTCCAACTACAAATAGAATACAATACATCTCCAGCACACACGCAGGCATACACACATAGGGAGATATTAGCCAGGTGGCATAGGACTAGTAGTTAGCGCCTGATAAGGCAGCTCCTGCGAATTCCTCAAAAATTGTATATCATAATTGTATTAATTGTATATATATATATATGTACTGTAAAGCGCTTTAGAGTGGCTAAGGTTAGCTAGATAGGGCGCTATATCAAATGTTGTATATTATTATAATGGGATCTTTATGAGAGGTGATATAAAAAATGATATATTATAGCGGTATATACATGTCTTAGAGCCTGTATGAAAGTTATATGATATCTTTATGAGATGTTATATTAATGCATTAGAGCCTGTATGAAAGTTATATTAATGTCTTTATGAGATGTTATATTATAGCGGTGTATAAATGTCTTAGAGCCTTTATGAAAGTTATATTAATGACGTTATAAGATGTTATATTATAGCGGTATATAAATGTCTTAGAGCCTGTATGAAAGTTATATTAATGATTTTATAAGATGTTATATTATAGCGGTATATAAATGTCTTAGAGCCTGTATGAAAGTTATATTAATGACTTTATAAGATGTTATATCATAGCGGTATATAAATGTCTTAGAGCCTGTATGAAAGTTATATTTGTCTTTATGAGACGTTACAATATAGCGGTATATAAATGTCTTAGAGCCTGTATGAAAGTTATATTTGTCTTTATGAGACGTTATATTACAGCGGTATATAAATGTCCTAAAAGCTGTATTCAAGTTTTCTAATAATGTCTTAATGAACAGATGAATCAAAGCGTTATTTATATTAATGCTTTCATGATGTATATAAGTATTATATCATTGTCTTAAAGATGCACCGAAGTGTTTTATTAACGTCTTAAAAGGCTATTAAAGTGTTTATATTATTTTCTTGATGAGAGTTGATATGAAAGTGGTATATCAATGTCTGGTTTAATGGGTAATATCAATGTCTTGATAAGGGTGCTATATTAATGTCTGAATGGGTGTACTTAAGTGTTATATTACTGTCTTAATGGTGAGTTTGATCAAAGTGCCATATAAATGTCTTAGAGGGTTATGTGTTATACAACCGTCTTAATAAGGAGTTTTATTAAAGAGGTATAGAATTGTCTGTGAGAGGTTTATTAATATTATATACAAATATTAAGGTTGTTAAATAATGCCTTATGGTGACTTTTCAAAAGGACAATTGATGACTTTTTTTCCATTTGTAAAAAT